AGATACCTCAAACAAGAATTGAAAGACTCTTGGCTGGCTACAAAAAGCGTTTACAAGCTGTGATACTTGCCAAAGGGGGCAGTACAAGATATTAACTCTGCAGGGTGCCCAAACTTTTGCAGACGCCATTTTTTTGTTTTCTGTTATTTTGAAAGTGTAAATGATGGAAATAAAATCTAACTTTTGTTGACATATTATAAGAATGTCTAATCTGTAATTTGATGCCTTTCGGAGATTTTTCCATCTTTCCTTGGCTTCTTTATGCACATTAATACAAATGTTTAGCTGGGGTGCCCAAACTTTCGATCCCCACTGTATATATATATATATATATATATATATATATATATATATAAATCTGTGCTAATAAGAACCACAATAAATAATCAATAATCAAAAATAAATTGTGAAACGTATAGCAGCTGAACACAAAAACCCTGATACTGGGCAACCGGCAATAAATACATAAAAGTGCAGCGCATAAAAAAGTGACAAATAATCATAAGAAAACAGTGAAAAATGTGTCAAAAAATAGTTCATCCAAAAATGAAAGAAAAGTCCTAGAGGCTGTGATGAAACAAAAGAAATCCAAGGACAAGCTCACTTTATTAAACAATCCACTGTGTCTTGCTGTGTTGTTCCTGCTGTACAGTGCAAGTCTTATCCTGAGTGGCTTAGCTACCCTAATTAAGGTCCATTGTTTGGAATATCCTTATCTGCTCTTTTGCAGATCTGGAGGAGGATTCCAGTGTCCTTGCTTTCTGGATTGTTTAACAAAGCATGATTGACCACTCTTAACAGGGGGTCATGCCTTTCTGGTAATCCTTCTGTAGTAGTGGTTGGTGACACAACTGTCCTTGGATTTCTTGTTTCATCACAGCCTCTGGGACTTTTCTTTAATTTTTGTATGGACTATTTTTTTACACATTTTTCACTGTTTTCTTATGATTATTTGTCACTTTTTTAAGCGCTGAAGTTTTGTATATATATATATATATATATATATATATATATATATATAAAAAAATCTACTGCTCAAAAAAATTAAAGGAACACTTTGAAAACACATCAGATCTCAATGGGGAAAAATATCATGTTGGATAGCTATACTAATATGTACTGGGTAGTGTGTTAGGTACGCAAGTATGCCCCATCGTTTGATGGAAATTAAAATTATCAACCTACAGAGGGCTGAATTCAAAGACACCCCCGAAAATCAAAGTGAAAAAATGATGCAGCAGGCTGGTCCATTTTGCTGAAATTTCATTGCAGCAACTCAAAATGGTGCTCAGTAGTGTGTATGGCCTCCACGTGCTTGTATGCATGCCTGACAATGTCGGGGGAATGCTCCTAACGAGATGACAGAAGGTGTCCTGGGGTATTTCCTCCCAGATCTGGACCAGGTCATCACAGAGTTCCTGGACAGTCTGAGGTGCAACCTGGTGGTGTCGGATGGACCGAAACATGATATCCCAGAGGTGTTCTTTTGGATATAGGTCAGGCGAGCGTGGGGGCCATTCAATGGTATCAATTCCTTCATCCTCCAGGAACTGCCTGAATACTGTCGCCACATGAGGCTGGGCAATGTCGCACACCAGGAGAAACCCAGGACCCACTGCACCAGCGTAGGGTCTGACAATGAGTCCAAGGATTTAATCCTGATACCTAATGGCAGTCAGGGAGCCATTGTCTAGCCTGTAGAAGTCTGTGGGTCCCTCCATGGATATGCCTCCCCAGACCATCACTGACCCACCACCAAGATGGTCACGCTGAACAATGTTACAGACAGCATAACATTCTCCATGGCTTCTGCAGACCCTTTCATGTCTGTCACATGTACTCAGGGTGAACCTGCTCTCATCTGTGAAAACCACAGGGCGCCAGTGGGGGACCTGCCAATTCTGCTGTTCAATGGCAAATGCCAATCGAGCTCTATAGTGCAGGGCAGTGAGAAAAGGGCCCACTAGAGGACATTGGGCCCTCAGTCCATCCTTATGAAGTCTGTTTCTGTATGTTTGGTCAGAGACATTTACACCAGTGGCCTGCTGGAGATAATTTTGTAGGACTCTGGCAGTGCTCATCCTATTCCTCCTTGCACAAAAGAGCAGATACAGTCCTGCTGATGGGTTAAGGACCTTCTACGACTCTGTCCAGCTCTCCTAGAGTAACTGCCTGTCTCCTGGAATCTCCTCCATGATCTTGAGACTGTGCTGGGAGACACAGCAAACTTTCTGGCAATGGCATGTTCTGATGCGCCATCCTGGAGGAGTTGGGCTGCCTGTGCAACCTCTGTAGGGTCCAGGTATCGTCTTATGCTACCAGTAGTGACACTGACCCTAGCCAAGTGCAAAACTAGAGAAAAACAGTCAGAAAAGATAAGTATGAAAAAATTTAGTTGCCGCTACCTGTAAAATCATTCCTGTTTTGGGGGTCTTCTCATTGTTGCCCACCTAGTGCATCTGTTGTTAATTTCATTAACACCAAAGCAGCTAAAACTGATTAACAGCTCCCTCTGTTACTTAACTGACCAAAGAAATATCAGTTTAGTTGACATGATGCTATACTCTGATTAAAAAGTGTTCCTTTAATCTTTTGAGCAGTATATATATAGTGACAGTGTTGACATGGTGTCAGAAGGGTTAGATGTCTCCCAAGGTTCTCACTTATGCAGGTTGAGGGGTTCCAGGATGTTTGCTTTGAGTGGGGAAATTGGGTTTTACTGTTTTCTTCATGATTGATAACTCCTTTATTGGGTTCTGGAGTCTCTAACCCCGTGTTCACATTGCTCTTGAAGCAAGAATCCTGGTTATGCAGCTGTGCACAGCATTTTATGGTGTAGGGGCTGTCTATGGTTCAGGTCTCTTTTCCCTGCTGCTGCATGAGCAATGTGTGTGAACATACTGAGAAGGTGTCTACTTGGACCTTATGGAGTGGCTATCTGACCGTGCCAGTGCCTGAGAGAGGTAATAATTAGGTATTTAGTTAGGAGCCTGTGCAGCCCAAGGTTCAAAAGCAGCTTCAGACATCTTTTAGGGGTGCTGTGTTGGAAGTTTAAGTGGGGGGAGCTAATGCAGTACACTTTTGTGGGTGTGGTCAAACGTGGGCCTGTTTAAAAAGTGTGTGTTTCTTCATTGTCTATCCCCTTTGTATAGACAAAATATTTCTTTGGGGCACATTAAAGAGATTGTTGGAGTAAAATAACCCCCAGCAAGTGTCAGGGTCATCAATAAAGCCCAGCAAGTGTATGAGCCAGCAATGCTAACCCCCAGTATATTTCACACTATATAGCTTATAGTGTGTGGGGGTCAGGACTGTGTACAACATTACTTTGTCAGTGTGTCCCCTGTACAATGGTGGTCAGTGTGCCCCTGTACAATCGTGGCCAGTGTATCCTCTAAACACTGGTCAGTGTGTCCCCTGTACAGTAATGGTCAGTGTGCCCCCTTTATATACTGGTGGTCAATGCCCCCCCCATACTGGTGGTCAGAGTACCCATTTACAGTGGATGTCAGGGTGCCCCTTGTATAATGGTGATTAATGTGCACAGAACCACTACTAGAACTCATAGGGTCTCATACAGTCTGCTCAACAGAGCTCCTCTCCCCCAGTTCATCCCACATTATGCAGCTGCGGTATGTAGTGTGTGCAGTGAGCAGTGTGCAGTGTAGGGCAGGGAGCAGAAACAGATGGCAGTGCAGAGGTATTGAGTGTGTTATGCAGCAGGAGGAAAGTGCAGGGCACTGACCAGCATGCAGCAAGCAGTATGTAGTACTCAACAAGTAGGGCCATGCACAGTACCTAATGGTAGTGCAGAGCAGGCTGGGAGCTGTATGTACTGACAGTGGCAGGGCAGTAACAGAACAGCATGCAGTGGCTGGATAATGTGCAGTATGTAGCAGCAGGGCAGTCAATGAACAGTAGATAGTAGTGGGGGGAAGTCAGTGAGCACTACGTAGTGGCAGAGCAGTCAGTGAGCAGTATGTAATAGTGAGGTAGTCAGTGAACAGTGTGTATTGGGGACAGTGAGCAGTATATAATGGGGGCAGTGAGCAGCATGTAGTGGGGGCAGTAAGCAGTATATTGTGGGGACATATCACGCTGATCTTTTTTTTCATGTGTATAATAAAGAATCATATAAAAGACTATGCCTTCCCTTTAACCACTTGTCTACCGGGCACTTTTCCTCCCTTCCTGCCCATGCCAATTTTCACCATTCAACACTGCCACATTTTGAATTTGCTCCGTCTTGCAACATTGTACCTATATGGAATTTTTATCTTTTTTTTCACACAAATAGAGCTTTCTTCTGGTGGTATTTAATCCCCACTGGGGTTTTATTTTTTGCACTACAAACAAAAAAAGAGCAAAAAATCTGAAAAAAAAGTTTTTCTTTGTTTCTATTACAACATTTAGCAAATAGGTAATTTTTCTCCTTCACTGATGTTTATTGATGAGGTTGCACTGATAGGCAGCACTGATGAACACTGATAGGCGGCACTGATGAGGCGGCACTGATAGGCAGCACTGATGGATACTGATAGGCTGCACTGATGCGGTGGCACTGATGAGGGGGCACTGATGGACATTGATGATAAGGCGCTGATGCTGCTGCACTGATATACAGCAATGATGGGCACTGATAGGTGACACTGATGGGAGGCACTGACTGACAGCACTGACTGACTGGGCACTGATGGGTGGCACCACTGGGCACTGCTGGTTTGCACTGATGAGCAGTGCACTGATCATCAATGCCTTTATTATCAGTGCAGATCTGCTTGGTGACATTTGCCAGTTATTGGCAGTACTTTGCACATGTTGTGACAGCGTGAGGACAGTGCTGCCAATAACCAGCAACTGTATTTACTTTGTGATCTGCTGTGTCATTGGACACAGCTGATCATGTGGTAAAAGACCGCTGTGATTGGCCTTTTACCTAGTCATGTGATCAGTTGTGTCCGTAGGAGTGTAAAAGTCAGGTACAGGGGCGGACTGACAACTCATGGGGCCCCCGGGCAATAGGGGATCATGGGGCCCTTGTGTCCTTGCCCAAACTCAAAAAAGCCTATGAAAAAGGTACCAGGGGCATCTCATGGGGCCCCCTACTGACACCGGGCCCTCGGGCAGTGCCCGAGTTTCCAAATGGTCAGCCCGCCCTGGTCAGGTACTTACACTGCTTGAATTTAAGAAAATGCATACAGGTGAAACTCGAAAAATTAGAATATCGCGCAAAAGTTCATTTATTTCAGTAATGCAACTTAAAAGGTGAAACTAATATATGAGATAGACTCATTACATGCAAAGCAAGATAGTTCAAGCCGTGATTTGTCATAATTGTGACGATTATGGCTTACAGCTCATGAAAACCCCAAATCCACAATCTCAAAAAATTAGAATATTACATGCAATCAATAAAACAAGGATTGTACATAGAACAATATTAGACCTCTGAAAAGTATAAGCATGCATATGTACTCAGTACTTGGTTTGGGCCCCTTTTGCAGAAATTACTGCCTCAATGCGGCGTGGCATGGAAGCTATCAGCCTGTGGCACTGCTGAGGTGTTATGGAACACCAGGATGTTTCAATAGCGGCCTTCAGCTCTTCTGCATTGTTCGGTCTCATGTCTCTTATCTTTCTCTTGGCAATGCCCCATAGATTCTCTATGGGGTTCAGGTCAGGCAAGTTTGCTGGCCAATCAAGCGCAGTAATCCCATGGTCATTGAACCAGGTTTTGGTGCTTTTGGCAGTGTGGGCAGGTGCCACGTCCTGCTGGAAAATGAAGTCAGCATCCCCATAAAGCTCATCTGCGAAAGGAAGCATGAAGTGCTTCAAAATCTCCTGGTAGACAGCTGCGTTGACCCTGGACTTAATGAAGCACAGTGGACCAACACCAGCAGATGACATGGCTCCCCAAATCAACACAGACTGTGGAAACTTGACACTGGACTTCAAGCATCTTGCAGTGTGTGCCTCTCCATTCTTCCTCCATATTATGGGTCCTTGGATTCCAAATGAGATGCAAAAGTTGCTCTCATCAGAAAATAGGACTTTGGACCACTGAGCAACAGACCAGGTCTGTTTTTTTCTTTAGCCCAGGTAAGACGCTTCTGACATTGTTTGTTGTTCAGGAGCGGCTTGAAAAGAGGAATACGAAATTTGAAGCCCATATCCAGGATCCGTCCGTGTGTGGTGGCTCTTGATGCACTGACTCCAGCCTCATTCCACTCCTTGTGAAAGTCCCCAACACTTTTGAATGGCCTTTTCCTGACAATCCTCTCCAGGCTGCGGTCATCCCTGCTGCTTGTGCACCTTTTTCTTCCACACTTTTCCCTTCCACATAACTTTCTATTAATGTGCTTTGATACAGCACTTTGGGAACATCCAACTTCTTTTGCAATTACCTTTTGAGGCTTTCCCTCCTTATGGAGGGTGTCAATGATGGTTTTCTGCACAACTGTCAGGTCAGCAGTCTTTCCCATGATTGTGATTCCTGTTGAACCAGTCTGAGAGACCATTTAAAGGCTCAGGAACCCTATGGCTTAATTATCTGATTAGAGTGGGACACTTTGAGCCTAGAATATTGCACCTTTTCACAATATTCTAATTGTGGATTTGGGGTTTTCATGAGCTGTAAGCCATAATCATCACAATTATGACAAATCACAGCTTGAACTATCTTGCTTTGCATGTAATGAATCTATCTCATATATTAGTTTCACCTTTTAAATTGCATTACTGAAATAAATGAACTTTTGCACGATATTCAAATTTTTTCGAGTTTTCACCTATATAATTATGTATTGATTACAGAGCTCCAATCTGCCTGGAGTTCAGATTTAACTATTGTGCCCTGCTATTTAATCTAAACCCAAAGTTTACTATTTTGCTGCATGTTTCTGTAATGTTGAAAACATTCTTCCTTTTATTTTCTCTGCTTTCAATTACAGCTTTTGAGCTATGCCATCTGAGAAATCTGACAGTTCAGTTGTGTTGAGGCGCCTGGTTACCCTTAGCTTGCTGCAGTTTCATTTACTGACTCAAATGTCAGTTATGTTTCCTGTTTTTCTCTTCAAGAGAACAAAGATTAGCTGTCATAGGGCAGGTGAGTATTACATAGTTACATAGTTAGTTTGGTTGAAAAAAAAAACAGCTCATCTAGTTCAACCAATAAAAGGGGGGGATATACAATCCTATATATGCAATCCTGTACCCACAGTTGATCCAGAGGAAGGCAAAAAAATTCCAATAAAGCTTGATCCAATTTGCTCCAGCAGGGGAAAATGTCCTTCCTGATCCCCCAAGAGACATTTAGGAAAGAATCCAGGCTTTTTTTTAAAACAAGCTACTGAGCTGGCCAGAATCAGCTCTTGAGGGGGTCTATTCCACATTTTCACCACTCTTACTGTGAAGAAACCTTTCCATATTTGGAGAAGAAATCTCTTTTCCTCCAGACATAAAGAGTGCCCCCTTGTCCTCTGTGATGACCTTAAAATTTAATAACTCTACACTGAGTTCACTATATGGACCACCTATGTATTTATACATGTTGCTCATATCCCCCCTTAATCTCCTCTTCTCTAGGGAGAATAAATTCAGTTCCTCTAATCTTTCCTTATAGCTGATCTCCTCCATGCCTCGTATCAGTTTGGTTGCCCTTCTCTGCACTTTCTCCAGTTCCTCAATATCCTTTTTGTGAATTGGTGCTCAAAACTGAAATGCATATTCCAGATGAGGTCTTACTAATGACTTGTACAGGGGTAAAATTATATCTCTCTCTCTCTGGAGTTTATACCTCTTTTAATACAAGAGAGGATTTTGCTCACTTTAGAAACCGCAGCTTAGCATTGCATGCCATTATTAAGCTTGTGATCTACCAGAACTCCCAGATCCTTCTCCACCATTGATTCCCCCAGTTGTACCCCCCCTAGTATGTATGATGCATGCATATTCTTAGCCCCCAAGTGCAGAACCTTACATTTATCAACATTAAACCTCATTTGCCACATAGTTGCCCAATTAAACAGTGCATTGAGGTCGGCTTGGAAATTGTTATTCAACTGCATAGCTTGGTGTCATCTGCAAACACTTTAAATAGTACGTTGAATCCCAGACATGATATCATTTTAAATAAATTAAAAAGTAAGGGTCTCAACACTGAACCTTGGGGTACACCACTGACAACCCTAGAGCATTCAGAGTATGAACCATTACCCACTACTCTCTGAATACAGTGTTTTAGCCAATTTTCTATTAACCATTTGCCCTCTAGAGGATTTCCCCCCCCCCCCCCCCCCCCCCCTAATGACCAGGCCTCTTTTTGCTACTCGGCGCTGCACTAATTCAACTGATAATTGCACGGTCATGCAATGCTGTACCTAAAAGAAATTTATATCTTTTTTTTCACACAAATAGAGCTTTCTTTTGGTGGTGTTTGATCACCTGTGTGCTTTTTATTTTTTGCGCTATAAACAAAAAAGACCGAACATTTTGAAGAAAAACAATATTTTTTACTTTCGGCTATAAAAATATATAGTAAACTCAAAGTTAGTTATAAATATAGGCCATAATGTATTCTGCTACATGTTTTTTTGGTAAAAAAAAATCCCAATAAGTGTATATTGATTGCTTTCTGTGAAAGTTATAGTGTCTACAAACTAGGGTATAGATACTGCAATTTACACCATTTTTTTGCTATACAGCGCTGCACTAGTTTAACTGACAATTGCGTGGTCATGCAATACGGTACCTAAATTAAATTTATGTCCTTTTTTCACACAAATAGAGCTTTCTTTTGGTGGTAATTTATCACTGGTGCGCTTTTTATTTTTGGCGCTGTAAACAAAAATATTTTGAACAAAACAATATTTTCTCATTTCTGTCATAAAAAATATCCAAAAAAACTAAAATTTTGTCATAAATTTAGGCCAAAATGTATTCTGCTACATGGTTTGGTTAAAAAATGCCAATAAGTGTATATTTATTGCTTTGTGTGAAAGTTTTTATAGCATCTACAAACTATGGTATAGATAATGGAATTTACACAGCTTTTACTTTCTGACTGCCCATCACATTTCTTGAGGTGCTAAAATACCAGGATAGTACAAACACACCCAAATTACCCCTTTTCGGAAAGTAGACACCCTAAGCTATCTGCTGAGAGGCATATTGAGTCCATGGAAGATTTATTTTTTTTTTCCACAAGTTTCTGGAAAAATGACGTTTTTTTTTTTTTTTTTTTTTACACAAAGTTGTCATTTAAATTATATATTTCTCACACAAGCCAAAGTGGTCATTGGATTTCAGGCTCCTGTATGTGGCTATGCTCCCAAAAAGTCTCTCACATGTGGTACCCCCATAGTCGGGAGAAGTAGCAGACTGTATTTTGGGGAGTAATTCCACATATACCCATGGCATGTGTGAGCAATAAATCATTTAAGTGACAATTTTGTGTAAAAAAAAAAACATTTTTTTTGTTTGTCATTTTCCAAAAACTTGTGGTAAAAAAATTAATTCTTCTATTGATTCAACATGCCTCTCAGGAAATAGTTTGGGGTGTCTACTTTCCAAAAAGGGGTCGTTTTGGGGGATGAGGGCATTTTATGCCCAGCATTAGAAGTTTATGCCACACATCATTCACTCTTCTAACCACCTGAAGACCAAGCCTTTTTTACACTTTTTGTTCACATGAATAAAATCAGTATTTTTTGCTAGGAAATTAATTTAAACCCCAAACATTATATATTTTTTTAAAGCAAACACCCTAGTGAATAAAATGGTGGGTGCTGCAATTTTGTATGTCACATAGTACTCGTGCAGCAATTTTTCAAACGTAATTTTTTTTAAAAAATACACTTTTTTAGGTTTAATACACAAAAACACAAAATATTGCCCAATTATTTGGTAAAATATAAAAGATGATGGTATGCTGAGTAAATAGATACCAAACATGATATGCTTTAAAACTGCGCATGCCCCATGCAATTGCGACAAACTCCATACATTTTTAATATCTATAGGCAATGTTTTAAAAGCCTTTACAAGCTACCATTTTAAATTTACAGTGGAGGTCTAGTGTTAGAACTACTGCCCTTGATCTGATGTTTGTGGCGATACCTCACATGCATGATGCAACTGCTGTTTCCATACTGGCACAGGGTCAACACTCCTGAA